CTGGGCCAAGTACTCAAAACTATGACTCTGTGGGAGTTTTGGTCATAGTTTCCTTCATACCCTTTGGATTGGTATTGCTGATTTGCCTGGTTTACCGGGGAGCCCCACCAACCCAACTAGTTCCAGTCACACCCTCAACATCACCCTCTAAATGGCTGGTTGACCCCCCAAAGTATCTTTGCCGCCCCACAAAACGCAAGCACTTTGAGGGACACCTGGGCAACATCGATCCCAACTCCCGTACAGCTGCGTGCGCTTGTTGCCAGCATCTCGCCCCATGGTCGTCCAGTTATTTCCCCAACCCCAAACTCACTTCCTGAGTGGATTGGCAAAATGAAGCTGGTTGTTTGCCACCAAAACGGTCTTCCCTGTCTTCCCTTCCCAAAAGTTTGTATGTGTGTGTGTGCGTATGTAGCGCAGCGTATAAATATAACATATTAGTTCGGAGCTGTCAACTCTAAGGCTTATTGTTTTTGGCCCTGTGAAGCTTTCAGAGCTTCAAGCTGCAAGAAGTTTGCAGTGTGGTTTGCTATGTGCAATTAACCAACGAAGAAAAAAATGAATCTGGAACCAGATTCCGGTTTCACCTTATTGCCTGTCAATCCTCAAAATTCGGAACAGAACATCTGCTATGCAGAATGTAAAGAACCAACAAAAACACTGTCCAACAAAAACTATAAAAGTGTGGGGGGTAGTGACCATATACAACCATATTCTCCCTAAGACAACTCCAAAAGCTTCTTTGGTGTCCCTTCAAACCAAACCCAAGAAAGGGCCCCTCAAAACAACAGGAATTGCGCCCATCAGGCCTTTCGACGCCCCACTTCCCCATTCGCAGTTTTGCGCCGAGTTGCGACTGCTCCCAGCAGCCCGGCGCCGCCCCAGCGCCTCGATTGATGGAGGGAAGCTTTTGGGGACGTTGGTTCCACCCTATGCTCAAGTGACCCACGAGCAACAAATAAGTTCCGCTTGGGCAAGAGAGGGGGTTGAAACAAAATGCGGATCGCATTTACATGTTGCTGTTGCTGTTCGCGAATACATGGCAGAAAAAACGACTCCATAGGACCACACTTGAGGTGACTGCGCCAAAAAATCCTTGCGTGGGCCTAATATGGGTGGGTGAAAGCTGCATGGCAGTCAAACGTGCAGTCCTTGACCTTGTCAAACTTCCCCAAGTTCAACATCCTTAAGCCGTAAGCCCATTTGCTAGGGTCTGATGGGAATCTGTGGAACTTCCGCTTCTCTCGGAAAAACTAATCGATTCCAGAGCCAAAGGCGGTGCCCTGCACCGAAACTTCTGAACAAATCGTAGCTATGGCAAGAGATCTAAGTGAATTCCAAAGAAAACTTCCCTGACTAACCCCACAAGGGCACCCAAAAAAGACTGACAAACACACTTGCCTCTCAAAGGATTCAACCTGCGCTGAGATCCCCTCCGGCCTGGGCGTCACGTAGACCTCCCGAGACCTACGGGCGTAGGCCGGCTTGCTCAGTTGCTCGAGGCCGCGGAAGAAAAAGCATCCAGTCGAAGCAGACATAGGAAGATTTCTCTCGTCAGGCCATATGCCAAAGGGTTTGGTCATGTTGTTTTGGTGAGTGATGGTTGGCATTTGCCTTTTGCTGACAAACCAGCGCTGACACCCTCAAACAATGTGCCACCTCTGCCACAAGCTTCTTGAGAGGTAAAAATGTAAGCCACAGTCAAGTGGGCGTGGGCCAGGTTGGGAAGTCTCCCTGGCACGTCCCTGCTGGACATGGTGAAAATAGGGTGGCTAAATTCAGAGAGTCACGATTTTCCAAACAAATCATGGACTGCTGAATAGGTTGACCAACGCGCATATGTGCCATGGTCATCGAAAAATAGAATAAGAAGCCATGGTCGGGGCTCCCTTACAAGAACAATGGGTTGCCTAAAACCCCCGGGTCTTGACCGTTCCTACCCCCAAATCTGACCACAAACCCGTCCTTTTGAGCCCCGGGCGTGTGAGTGCGGATGTTGTTCACCACCAGCTTGGTGCCTTACAGCTGGGACCCCTTGACATTCATGGCTCAAACCAGATCTGTTAAACCCCAACATCACATTCTCCAACAAAAACACCAGGAACTTGGGACGTCGAATTTGAGGAGGGGGGGCCTTCCGATTTGGCCAAGCTAGAAAAAGTGGTCTCTTGTTAGAAAAAGCAGTTAAAACCATAAAACCGTTGCGCGAGCGGACAAGCTACTAAGAAAAGGCGGTAGTGGTAGTGACAAGTTGCTACTCTCGTTCAAACAACACTGGAAGCTGACGTATGCAGATAATGGTTGCGCTACAAGGAACCCTTTCAATGAGCGGCTTAAAATCCCTCTTGCTCTCCTGCAAATGGGAGTGTCTCAAAATAGGGGAACCTCCAAAATTGGTAGTTTCCCTAAAGAGGGGTTTCTGAAAAGACACACCCAATTCGCATGGGACTTAAAACACCCCTATTCTTGAAGGCAACTCCGTAAGTTTGACCCGTCAAAACGCACCCATAGTCCTTCGTTTTCAAAAGGGGGTTGTCACAAACTAACCCTTCCCGGAGGGAATCCAACGAGATGTCGAGCAAGCAAGTTTGAGAAGCAACCCCTTCAAGGGACCCATGAGTGTTTTTTTGTCTAGGGGTCCGTCAAACCCAGGAAAGCGATCGATATTCTGGGCTTCTCCCACCATGGCTCGTTGGCTCATTGGGCTCACTTGGTTTCGCTGGTTGAGCCCTAAGCCTGAGCCCTGCGCGCTGGTTCTCCGCCTGCGCAATGGCCTGCGCATGTTGAAGAGCACCCGAAATCTGTGATCCCCTGGGTTATTCCCACTGTATCACTTGGGGATTCCCAGTGGGTTGGTCCAAGCTCCCTATTTTCTGATATCTGGTATGCTCACTTTCTCTCTGGCTCTCAAAAGGAACCATCTAGGGAATTGTCCACCACTATTAAAAGGCGTTCCAACAAGTGGAATTGATAGGCAATAGGGGTGACTGGATTTCCCCTGCAAGAGTTGATCAATTGGCGGTTTTGCACTGAAAGGATCGTCACTGTTAGAGGTCCAAGAAAGGAAATTAACGGACTAAACAGTTGACTCAGAATTTTGTTGACCCTTTGTGGACATCATTTAGATGGAGATGGATGTCCAACGCTTTCAAGGGAGTTCCAACTCGTAGAATTCACTGCACACGTTTCGATCGCCTGAGCGAAGGTGCCCTGGTCCGCGTCCATGGGCTGGCCGTTGATCTCCACGATGAAGTCGAAGAAGACCTCCAGCCCCGCCTGCAACATGGGTCGGAGAGTGCTGGAGTGCTGGGGACCCTGGGCAGGCTGGGGACCCTGGGCAGCCCCATCGCGCATCATAGCCCACATCAGCACCCACGCGAAGACTGCAGGCCATCAGATGGCGTCAAGACCAATAATGAATTACTGCATGCTGCGGAAGTGCCAAATCAGCAGTTTGGCTCCATGTAGAATTCCGCCCCACCCCTAGGTCTATTATAATTCACTGACCGAGAATGGGGGCCTCCAAGAAAGGGACTTGGGTGACGACACCAAAACCCCCGGCGACGTCGCTATGATCTGCCCAAATTATTGATGGCAACCCCTGCCTCCGCTGCGGGCGACCCATCATTCACCTTGAAGATACGGAAGCCCCCGACCTCCGCGGACCTTGCTGCGCTTGGCTTAAGCCGGGCAAAACGCTAGCTTCGGATTCATCCGGACGGTACTAATAGCCATCCATGCTAAATCCAAATGGCAGTCCACCATTTTGAGAACTCCTCAATGGGGAGGCGTGCATCTCCATCTCTTCCCCGAAAGAAAGGGCACCCCCCCCCCCCCCCCCCCCCCCCCCCTGCCCCACCCCGCCCACAAAACAAACAAGGGGGGCTGCGTTCCTTCGCACTTCCTTCAAAGCAAGCCTAAACAGGGCACCAACCCCAAAAGACACCGGCGAGGTACCGCAACTTCCAACACTGCGAACAACGCAGGCGAACCCCGCAACAATCTCAATGCCATTCTTTCGACGCTGAGGCCTGCGCTGGTTTCCGCCCATGGCGACAGAAATCTAAGCCGAAGGGCGCATGTGCCCTTCACCCGAGCGGCACAAATCTCTCAGTTCGTGCTGCGTTGGGTTCTCTCTGTGACTTCTGCAAATGCGAAGAATCCTGAAACAGCTGGTTTGCCAGCTCAAAGCTACCGTCATAGAGTGAACTGGAAAGTTGACTTGTGGATATGATATGCTCAAAAAGTGTACTGTGGAAATATGATCATGTAAGTCCTGTGAGCTGCGTCCCTGATGAAGCAGCACGGGTCTCATTGGATTGCAAGCCAGTTGAAGACTGCTCCGCTCTCTTTCAAGCTCACAAAAAAGCGATAAGGGTATGCGGGGTCAAAATAGGGGGACACTAAAGTTGCGGTTTTCCTTTAAACCGCCACACATGCACACGCTCAGTGGCACAGACTCCATTTGGCAGTTGCCAGCTGGTGACCCGGCTTCTGACGCTTCAGCACGTTGATCTCCAAGCACAAGGCAAACACAAAGTAATGAGCATCCTTTCTTAAGCGAAATTCAAGGGGCCTTTGATCAAACTGAAAACCTGCCACTTCAAGGGTTTCTCAAGATATAGCGCCCTTTTTAGTGTCCCCTTGTTAATTGCTGGCACAGGTCAAAGCGGCCATCTGTTGGACAACGGGGGTGTCACATTTTGCAATTTGCTTTTGCCATGTCGCAACTAGTCGAGCCGGGGCTTCTTCTCATTATCCGCCTGCGAGCGCACAGCGGATGAAGCTTGGACGATGTCGGAAAACGGATCGCATGTCACAACGAAAACGAAAAGCGAGCCAATGTGGGTTCGTCAAAATTCGAAGGATCCAACTTTCAGGCATCCCCGAAGCATTGGTGCTACCAACATAGTTAGCAAGGTTTAACTTTTTCCCCTGAAACCAGGTAAAGAAACCACCCAACGGGACCTGCTGTCGGGGGTTCCACAGGATTCTTGGGCAGACCCGTTTTGGGGGGTTGGATACTTTCGGACAGTTTGGAATGCTCCCAACTAGGGCCAAACGATAGCGCTAGCAAGCCAAGACGAAACCCATAAAACACAAGCGAAACAAAACAAAACAATGCAAAAACAGAGAAACGAAACAAAGCAATGCAAAACAAAAACAAAATAAAAATGAAAAACAAAAAAGCATACCAAACCAAACCAAACCAAACCAAAGCAACCAACAAACAAACAAAATACCAAACAACCCTAAGCCCAGCTATGGCTGCAACGTTTTGGGACGCTAAACTCTTTGGAGTTGGTACAACCAAAACAGGCTCAAAGCATGGCTTTGTCATCATCTGACAACCCTTCCGTCGTAGGCTACCTGTTCTCAACGTGGTTTCGAGGGAACCCAGAGAAAAAGCAAATTCTCTTGGCCAAAGCCTTAGCATCCCCATCAACAGCCCACATCACTGGCATCCCCAGCATCATCAGCATCACAAGCAACGGGCGCCTGTAGCGAGCAACTTCGAAACTCAAACGAAACTGGGTACAGTATCGCTTTCCATCATTTTACAATAATATGAATCCCTGAATAAGAATCACGACTTGGATCGCCAAGTAAAGTGCCTGGCTCGTTGTACCCGACAAACACATGGAATCGCTCGAAGCCCGTATAAAATGGGCAGAGTTCCGAAGAACGGCGACGCGGATGCGCCGTTCCTGACCTCCTCAACCTGCCAGGCGATCACCACCGCAGTTAGGTTGTCATCGCTGCCCAGCTCAAAGGCCCGCCTGAAGCGAAGTAGAAGTGGGGTCGTTGAACGAAGCCCAAATAGCACTCCGGGAACAAGCCATTACTGAAATTGGCTGATGGGTTGTTGCGAACAAAGGGCTTGATTGAACAAAGGGGCTGGTGGCAAAATGGATTTGAAAAGACAGTTTCAAATTCCATGCAGGCATGGTAGGGTGGGCCTGGGCTAGAGGGGATTCAGATTAAGATGGGTATGAGTCAAACTGGACTTCTAGGTTCCTTTCGCCAACACACACCCAGATCACTTCTGGGGACCAAACACCAGACAAATCACAAATATGGTACTAAAGTGGTCAGAACCTGTCTTTGCGGCGCCCGCACACTCTTGTCTTCAGCTTGCGGGGGCCTGAAAAATCTGCCTGGGGCTGAATGCTCTCGGACCACCGGTCGCGAGGTTGAACAAAAGGGAGCTTTCTACCAGGATACTGCAAGTGATGCTCGACCGGGCCCCAGTTTTGTGTGCCGACAGGAGGCTCTTTCAACACTTGCACTCGCGTCCGAGTGGGCCAAAAACGACCTCGAGTGAGACGGTCCCGACTGTTGACTGGGGCGCTGGGTCCGGAGCCGGACCAGCGCGCGGGACGCCAAGTCGGCAGTCTTGTGCTCGGAGCAAACGCTGATGGCCTACGTGTGGGTTGACCCTGTAGTGGTTAGAGTGGACATAGTGGTTAGAGTGGGTTGACGCTGGCTTTAGTGGTTATAGTGATTAGATTGGGTATAGCGGTTAGAACGGGTTGACCCTGCTTTTAGTGGTTATGGTGGAGTTGTTCTGGTAGTTCGGACGCATAGCGGTAAGGTGGCTCTTACTTGACCAAAGGACTCAGAAATGCAATGTTAATCTGTTGGATCCATGGCTTAAAAGCCAAAAATGTGCCAACCAGGGAAAGCAAAAAGGTCAAAAGCTCGGCTTTTGGCAACCGAGGGCTATAGTGGTTAGAGTGAGTCGACCTTGGCTTTCCTGGTTCCAATGGCTATAGTGTTTACAGTGCGTTGACCCTGACTTTAGTAGTTGTAGCCATAGCGGTTAGAGTGGGGACTATGACTTTAGTAGCTATTGTGATTAGAGCGGCTATCGTGGTTAGACTCGGCTGGTCCTGGCTTTGGCGGTTTTTGTGGTTAGAGTGGCTCTAGTAGTTGCAGCGTGGTTTTAGTGGTTCTGCTGGCTCGAGGGGCTATCTTGGTACAGCGGTTGTGGTGGTTGGTGTGTTGATCCTGGCTTTAGTGATTATCATGGCAGCAGTGGTTGTAGTGGCTGTACTGGTTGAAGTGGGTTGGCTATGATTCTATAGTGGTTTTAGTGATTGCGACGTACCTAGAAAACAGGAAGCAAACGGGGTCAACCCGGCTGGGGAAAAGACCAAAAGCAATTGGAGGCAAACCAAAAGTCTCCACTCAAGTCCTGCAAAAACCTGTCTAAAGGAGAGAGTTGAAACATGATTTAGAAAAAAAGGGGGGGGGGGGGGGAAACAAACGAAAAAAATAATAAAAAAGGGAAAAAAAAAGCATCAGTTGAAAAGAGCTTGGCCGTGGCACATCACTTGTGGGAGCCTTTGAAAAACAGAGGAAGTTGCAAGCAAAAACTACACGCATCCTCAGCCAGGGTAAACAACATGAACAAACAAAGGTAAACCAAAGGTCCCCACTCACGTCCTGTGGGGACCTTCCCAGATTTCCAGCAGAAAGAATGCAAAAAGCAACGACGAAAAACATCAAGAAGCATTAGCGGGAAAGAGGTGGAGTGCATCAATGGACCCCATCCATCATTTCTGGGGACCTGGAAGCTGCAAACAAACAACAGCAGGCATCCCCAGCTAGGGAAAAGAACTTGAACAACGAAGGCAAACCAAGGCCTCTACTCAAGTCCCGTGAAAGAGCGCGAGCAAAACCAAAAACAAAAAGCAGCTTCGGTGAAAGTAGATGGCGCAATTTCCGCCTCTTTCTTGGACCGCCCCTTTCCTTAACCACATAAACAGCATTGCCGTCTACTTTCATCCAGGACAACAATAGCCACTATAACAGCCATAACTGCTATGATCACTATAGCCATAACTGCTATGATCACTATAACCACTACTTTAACGACTCCGGCTCAGACCGTGACGTTGCAGGCCTGCTTTCGTATATGTGTCTTACACATACAGTTCAGCAATGGCAAAGAGCAGAGATGAGTGTGGGGGCGAATCGTTTTCTTACATGTGTTTCAAGCGTGCAGCGCGCGTAGCACTGGAAATGGTGAAGCGATGGATAAGACCAGGGTTTGGGCTCATTTGTAGATTTGTTTCTTGCGGTAAGTGGGGTGACTGGGGTCACTTGTAATCATGCAACCTTCGTGAGCACAAGGACTCGTCTAGCAGTGTTCCTCCTTGATCCAACCCCCAACCTGTTCTTGACCCGTTACTTTGGGAGGCAGTCGATTAACAAATACAGGTTCAATGAGAGTTACTATCCACTTGCCTGACGTACAGTGCCTCCTTTGGGCACGTGCAATGCTCAAGGAACCCAAGAACCCTCCTTGCAAGGACTCCATTCAAGTTCGCGTGAAGCAATGGGATGGTCAAGCTCGGCGCATGTCTCATACACCAAAGGGTTAGGAAAGGAAAACGTGATCTTGAGGTAAGAAAACACAGCGGACAAATGCGTTAGAAAGCATGGGGTTCTTGGACACCTCCCTTCTTGTTCAGATAAGCATCACCTTCGCGGCCACTTTAAAGTGGGGTGCCTTTTGATGGGCTTATGATTAAGGTGGCAATGCAGCGAACCCTGTGGTAAAATGTTCGTCCATTCGCGCATTTGCGATCCATGTGAATGCCAGCTGGGTCCTATCTGGGCCATGAATACCTGAAGGCTGAAAGTAGATGAGTTCCGATTCTCTTGGGTAAGTAAAAGGGATGACTAAAACATAATGGGCGAATTGCGTCACCAAGTTTCACCCAACTGTAATTGACTAGAAACAGACTGGGCTGTCTACTGTCAACCAAACTGACATGTTGCGATCCGCAGACCTGTCTTCTGTGTCTTCAGAGAACCCCTTTTTCCGGATGGTGGATTGGCTTCATAAGGGAAACCCCGAGGAAACCAACCACCTGGTGGTGGCTAGCCCTCGGTGGCTAGCCCTCATTTTAAGAACCACACACATGGGCATTTGCTGAATTGGAGTCTCCACGAAAAGCGGCTGTGGGTTCATGTTGGTCTCCCTTCAAAAACCACAAACCAAAAACAATAAAAGTAGCCCCTACGCGTGCCCCGGATGTACCCCCTTTGCCATACTGTATATGAGTCATGGTCAAAATATGCGAATACTGCAAGCCCCTCATTCTCGTGGGAAATTAGTAGCTCATCGCCCTGTGTCCCGAAACGCACATGAACCATAGACTGGATACTGTGATAACCTCATATGAGCAAAGGACAAACACCCTCTTTTCCCCAAAAGGACATGGGAAAATTGGCCCGTCCCACCCTGGTTTGTGTGGGGAAATTCTTGTAGTACCCCCTTCCTCGCCATGCCCAAACTAAAAGCAGACAACCGGCAATATTGCCAGTTGTTCATCCGTAGGTTTGTTCCCCCCAAGATTTCAGAGAAAAACAAACCAACGATCCCCAGTTTACAAGGCGGAAGAATAGAAGAAAAAATGAAGCCCTCCCGCCAATTAATTAAATAAAATAAAATAAAATAAAAAATAGTGGCCGCGGCATGCTGCGCGAGCGTTTTTTGGCAATGGCTGTCCCTCGGTCCTCCTCGTCATCCATGACATCCCAGATGCCGTCGCAGGCAAGCACCAAGAACCTGTCCTGGCACGGAATCTGGGTGGAATCAGAGGTCTGACTTTTGGAGTTGGTGTGGGTTGGGCAGACTGGCAGAGGAACCCCAAACAGGGGGTCTTCCAAGGACATTTAGGTAATGAACCCAAAAAAAGACTTTTGCAAAAGAAGGTTCATCCAAAATTGTGGGATTCGGGCGGGTGGGATGTCTTCCTCCGGCTTGACCATGCTCTGTACACGTTAGGACGACTAGATCCCCAATTTACCACCTTTAAAATCATCTTCGGAACAATCAAGGAGAGCTAGGCCGTTAGGCGCAGCTTCGTTCTGCACTGATCATCCCGAAGTTGTCAGTCCTTCAGTAGGCTACTCAGCAACCCCACCCAGAACATCAACCTTGACTTTTGGCTTTGCCAATATGGTTACAAAGGCTTGATATAGGCCTTTCTGCAATCCCTCCCCATCAAACCAAGTAGAACAACTACTAAATGGCGAAGAGGGGTGCCCACTTAAAGGGACGTGACAATAAACCGACTATCAAACAACAGGGTTCCCTGAATTTCTGCCCTACCCATCACCCCTACCACGGGAGACGAACTTTTAATCGGCAAGACAAAAAGCGTTGCTTAAAACTGCCCGAAAGTAGAGGGACCGAGTTCCTGTACGTTGCAAGGGTACCTCCCTTTAACTCGCCACGTGTGGAGCCGTGGCTCGCGCCTCGTTGACGTTCAGCTCGCTGAGGGTGATCTCGGGCATGGCGCTCACCAGAGGTCCGGTGACGCCTCGCGGCTCTGTCTTGCGTTTGGCGCGCGCCGAAGACCGCTGCTCCTAAACTCTGTGTTGCGTTGATCTGGAAGGCATCAGGATCCTAAGTAACCACCCGAACAAAAGTTCGCGCCCGTCTAAAAGCGTGGGCTTCCTCTTGGGATCTTGGAACACGGGAAAAACCCACCACGACAGAAAGAGGAGATCAGGCCAAAGCGACCGGCTTTGGACTCTCAAACTCTGAAGGAACCTGATCTGCAGATTGAAGTGCTATGAGAATATCGATTGATAGCAGTTCTTCATGTCTCTCCCAAGCCCAACGGCCATGAATTGTGAAACGGGAACAGCCCTGTTCAAGCAAGTCAGTGGAAAGTGAAGCAATTGGGGAAATATACCGAGCCCTGCCAACCCGGCCCATTCCCACATCCCGTGAAAGAAAAAAACAGCACCCCGTTTCGCCAGCGCGGTGCCCAGAGAGCTTGTAAAATCAACAGGGCTCCCTATACTGCCTACAAGCCTTGCAGCAAAAGAAAGCTCGTTATGAATTGGCGACTACGGGGCTGTTCAAAACCACCACTTGAGGAAACAAAGATGAAACCCTAGTAGTGAGTGAAGCCCCCGGACCTTTTAGTGTCACTGTCCGCAAACACAACTGTCTACTGCCCCTGGGCGTGTTAATTTTGAGGGTGGTTTGAAGGGACGCCAAAGGGAACATCGCCATTTTGGCAGTTTCCTCTTGGCTGGGACGCGTGTAGGTTCCAGCCCTCCAAGAGGAAATTCAGGAGACAAAATCAGGCCCGACCACAAAGGTTTTCAGAATCCGTCGATCAGAAATCTTCTTGGATTGTGGGGGTCCTACGTTTTTCCCTAGAACTATACTGAGTGACCCTGAATGGGCTCTAACAAACGGGTTCTAGGATGGTGCACATGATTCTTGCCTTTTGGTGCCCGCGTTCGAAACTCGTTTGGGACCCAAAACCAATGTCTGAGTGCTGATCCACTGAAAGTTCCCCTTCAATCTCACCAAGGCTCTCCAAAAAAAAAAAAAAACACGGGTCCCCTGCAAGAGCTGCTCCCTCCAGCCTGCCTGTGCAGCCGTATCTTTGCGGCTCCTCGGCGCAAAGCCAACTCTAGGTGGGCCTGAAGGGAGCCCTGTTGCACAGCGGACCCTGAGCATGCACATTGTTGGTATGATCCTTTGCACTTGTTGCACAAGTTGCAACACGCACAAAAGCTCCCAAAGGAGAAAGGCACGTACATTCCAGCTAGGCAAGTTGAGTGAAGCAAGTCGAGTGCCATACGCGTGAGACTGGCAAAGTCAGGTCAAGCTGGCGTCTCTCTAGGTACTTTGATTAGGACAAAGCAAACAACCGAAGTTCAGGAAGGGAACAAGCCCATGTTGATGGTTGCCCAATAAGACAAAGGCTGGATAGGGAGAAGGTTGCTCATGAGTTTAAGCCATATGCTCGCACTGGGGTCGGATCTTAGCTTACTGATTCGAGGATTGTGTGGTGGTTGGCGCCGCTTTGACTTGGATCCGGAGCTTTGGGTTGGACACTCCTTGGCCACATTTCGTGTACACTGAAAATCATATGTTCACAAGTGTTGGTTCCTCATATTCATTTCCTTACCCCTGTTTGGTGGTGTGGTTTGGTGGACTTTAGGGGGGGTCCCTTCATTTGGTTTCAAAAGCTGGGGTGTAAATCCCCACTCCAAACCGCCGACTGAGGGTGCCTGAGTGTAGCAAACCCAAAAAACAAAAAACTGAACAAACTTCAGGCAACGGACTCTTCCCTAAGGGCAGGATTTCGGGCGGCAAGTGCTGATCCCCGCCCAAAGTCAACCATTTCGGGGACACCCCAAAAGTTATTCGGATCCTCTTTGAAATGGGACACTCCCATCGAAGGGAAAAAGGCAAAGTACCCATAAAGTGCCCTTAAGGCATGTCCAGTACATGGAGGTGGGGGAGCCTTGAATGAACAAAGCCTGAACGCCGTGACAGGAACTGGCGTCTTTGAATGTGTCATGAGCTTACCGAGATGGAGGTTCCTTTTCAGGCTTGACACCCATAGGAGTAAGAGTACTATCCAGACTGCAGATTCACATCTTGGGGGGCTTCTGTTCGTCAGGGAAGGTAATTTGGAAAATGTTACCTTTTGAAAGCCATCAAGTCACTCACCAAACCCGGTCTAAGAACCCAATACACAATTTGGAACACAGTGGGACAGCAGGCCGTCTACCTTCCGTACCGAGCAGAAACGCACGCCTTCATCAGGAGGTCCCCGAAAGCACGGGAGACGGCGAGGCCCCAGAGCAGGCTGCGCCCCCCGAAGGTGGCGGGGCCCGGCGTGAAGACCCGCCACACGCCCTCGACAGGCCAAAAGGGTGGCAAGGTGGGCGAGGGATTCCAACCGGCTCTTAGACCACCCCTCCACCCTCAGACCCCCCAGGCAAATCACAAATGGTAGTGTTACCAAAACAAACAAACAAACAAACAAACAAACACAAGCAAACAAACAAACGAGCAAGCAAGCCAACAAACAAACAAAGCTTACAACCCACAAAAGACCCACGTCCGTTCCACCGGCCTTGTCATTTTGTTGCTTAGGTCACTTCCCAACAAAGAAAAAAAAACCTTCCCTCCAACCCCCTGGGCCTTGGCCCATCGTCCCAAAGGGAATCCCTGGTGGTTCCATGTGGTGGTTCCATCCTGATTTGGACTGACTCCCCAAATGGATTTCGGTTGTCCTTTCGGTTGTCCCCACAAAAATCCGCCAACCAGGGTGGCCTCCCAAGAATGACGATGGCTCGCGGAGAGGAGTCTTCCAGACCGGACTCTCGGAGCGATCCCAGGATCCTGGCCTGCATGTCCACCACCCCCCCGCAGCTCTCGATACGGCGCTGCTCGTCCGGCCGCCCGGGCTTGTGGTCCTCCGACAACCTCCGCGCCCCCAGCGTGCTGCCCTGGCGCGCGGGGCGAGCCGCCCGTAGGATGGGACCCTTGGACAGCAGTTGGGGAATGGCCCCTTCAGCTCTCGAGATGGGTCCCAAGTTTAAATCAATAGCCGTATGGATCAAAGTGTCAGAAGCTTTGGGGAGGGCATTGGGGTCTGGAGGTCTACTTGTTTTCGAATTTTGAGACCCTGTCGGGGTTGGTTTAGAGGGACACCACAAGGGAACCAGATATATGTTTTTTTCCTTTTGGGGGGACCCTTTTCCAGGTTCATGTGGGGGGATGGATTTTACCTCCACACAGAGGAGATCTCGCAGATTGCCTGCCATCTTTCACCGGCTCCTTCAGTCCCTTGCCCCGTGGATCTATTGGCCCATTCTTGCCCCGAAACACTGCATCCCTGCGAAACCTACAAAACATGCGGGTTGTGGGACCCCTCTTGTACCTGAGCTTGCCCCCACCTGCAACTGTTTAAACATCCCACACCCTCGCCCCAACTGGCCCAATTTTTCCATCCTGCAAGCATCACACCAAAAGTAAACACACTTTCAATGGCCTTTCCCAAAAGGTGACGTTCAAACAGGGCCAGCCAAAATGCAAAAGTCAACATTGCCAGGCATGGTTTGCCTGCCCCAGAGGCCTACAAACACCCGCAAACAGTAAGGGAAAACATGGGAATCAACCCCCGATGTTTGTTTAAATAACAAAATGTGGTGGTGTCGCCAACAGCAACCACCGGAAGACTTCGAAACCCAAGCGCTGCAGCTTCAAACGCCGCAAACCTCTCGGAAGCCCTTAGATCCGCTCCACCGGAAACGCTCTGAAGCCCATCCGAGCGCTTTGCAACGATCCTCCATGGACCCCCCCCAAACCCTCCGCGCTGCTTCAAAGCTTGCACCTGTTGGGGAAAAACCTTTGAACAGATCCGCCGACCCCTTGCGAAGGGCGAGACGTCAGATCATCATCACCACCATCATCACCACCATCATCACCACCATCATCATCAGCATTATCACCATTGTCTCATGATCATCACCATCATCATCATGATCATCATCATCATCATCATCATCATCATCATCATCATCATCATCATCATCATCATCATCATCATCATCATCATCATCATCATGCTCTTGTGTTCTCTTGCATTTGGACTTGGAGGTAACGTTAGGCGCCGGTTGCAATGCTGGCGAGCAACCATCATCATTATCACTATCATCATCATGGCAAGCTATTATCATCATAGTGATCATCATCATCATCATCATCATCATCATCATCGTCATCATCATCATCATCATCGTCGTCATTCTCTGGTTTCTAGATTTGGTGTCACGTTGCAATTATCATCATTATCATCATCATGCTATGCAATCATCAGCATCATAGTCGTCATCAGTCTCTTGCATGCTCTTGTGTATAGATTTTGGATGTCACGTTGGGCAGCGCTTGCAACGCTGGAGATGCCATCATCATCATTATCATTATCATGGGAAGCCATCAGCATTGTCATCATTGTCGGCATGTGCTTTTTAAGCCTGCCCATGCTTGCTGAGACGGCGGCGGTTGCGCGCGGCTGCTTACTAGCGCTCTCATTGCTTGACACCTTGAGCCAGGCAACGCTGCGCGCGGGGGGCTCCAGCTTATGCCGGAGCAGCGTGGCAGCGTGAGCGGGCCGCTGCAAGTTACAGCTTTCCTGCCCCAATTTTGGCAAACTGTGCTCCGCGAAGGGCAGCCAAAGCCAAGCGCCAACATCGCATTTTGGAGGCCCTACTTGTGGGCCTGCCTGGTGACCCCAGAATTGCAGCTGTATTAGATTTGCTTTAGGCGGGCCCTTTTTTGGAGCCACTTTGTGACCCAAAAGTGGGGGCGAAAACGTGGCAAGTTCGCTGCCGGAAAGTGGCGCAGTGAATTGCAGAAGATTGGCGTCGCTTGCCGGCAGGCAGCAGCGCCGCTGCGCCGCAAAAAGATAGGTCGCAGCAACTCGGCTTTACTGCATTCTCTGTCCTTCTTCGCAAAGCGCTTTTCCGCGCAAAGTGTTCCTGAAGTTTCTGCGCGGCATCGCCGCAGCCACAGAGCGGCCATCAGCTAGGAAGCGCACAACAGCCACGCGACGCAGCAGCGCTTCTCCCAGCAATTTGCTTCTCAGCCCACGCGCGCCGCCCGATTTCTGAAAATATGTTTGTAGATGTTGGGTGTCACAAGAGGCAGCGCTTGCAATGCTGCGGATGCAATCATCATCACTTGCCGTAATCATGGTGAGCCATCATCCTCACTAGCGAATCATCGTCATGCTAAGCCCTCATCACCCTCATCGCATAATGATCATTCCCATCATCATCATCATCGTCATCACACGTTGTAGTGATCATCATCATCATCATCATCATCATCATCATCAGTCGTCAGTTGTTATCATTCTCTTCGTTTAGCGTTTGCAATGCTGGGGATGGAACCATCATGATTGTCATCATCAGCATCATCATCACCACCATCATCACCATCATCATCATGGTAAGCCATCATCATCATCATCATCATCATCATCATCATCATCATCATCATCCTCACCACTACCGTGGTCATCATCAAAGTGAGTGATCATTCTCATCATCGTCGTCATCGTTCTTGTGTAGATAGGTGTTGGATGTGAACGCTGAGCAGCGCTTGCAATGCTGGGGGTGCAATTAGCAGCATTGTCATCATCATGGTAAGCCATCATCATCGTTATCAGCATCATGGTAATCACCATCTTTGTTTGTGTACAGTAGATGTGTGTGCGTCTTCTTCTTTACATGTTTCTATCTTTCTATTCGAGCCCCCGGCAGAAGAAGTGAAAGGCTATGGTTAGGAATCCGGCCACTGGGCCCCCCAAAGCCTTGATCGCCGGACATGGGGCGAAGGACTTGTGGATTCGTGTAAGCAATGTTGGTCTAAAGGGAAATGCAAAAATCTGAGTGAAATGAACGGAAACGAAGGGAACCGAAGGGAACCGAAGGGAACCGAAGGGAACCGAAAGGAAATGCGAGGAAATGCAAAGAAATGAAGGAAAACCCAGGGAACTAAAGGGAAAAGAAGGGAAAATAAGGGCAAGGAATGCAAATGAAGGAATGTGAAGAGAAGTGAAAGGACAAAAGAAGCGGAGAGAAAATGAAGGAAAGGGCAGGGTGCCCGGTGGCCGACTGTTCGAGGCAGCGTCTAAATCCGGCGAGCTGACCATGAACGGAAGTCAAAAACGAGCTTTTTTTGAGGGGGGGCCGGATATTGGACAGCATCCCCAGCATTGCAAGCATCATCCCAGATGATGCAGAAAATGCGGGGCAAGCGACGCTAAATGAGTGGGCTGAGGAAAGGGTGGCACTAAGGGAAATGAAGGGAAGTGGAGGAGAAATGAGGGGAAGTGAAGGGAAATGAAAGGAAATGAAGAAAAAACAAGAGAAATGAAGGGAGATGGAAAATGCAAGGGAAATCAACTCGAGGGAAATGAAGGGAGTAAAGGATTTGAAATGCAAGGAAATGAGGAGAAATCGAACAATCCGACCTAAGAACTTTGCTGGAGGACAGCTGGTCTGGCCACTAGCGGGAGCCTCAGGCTTCGGACTGTCACGGCTGTCAGTTCCCGTCTGTCGCAGCTGTTGTGGACGTGAAAGTCAGGCCAAATTGTCACAGCAATAGCAATAGGCTCTGCTGTCACGCTGCACCGGGTGGAGTGAAGATCGGATGGCACTTCAAGTCTAACAAACCCTGAGAAAAAGCCTTGGGCAAATATGGGGTTCTCAAAATTGGGGGCCCGAAACAGGTCTCTGTTCTTTTGGCTTCCCCTGAAAACCACCAAAAAATAATTTCCTCGAAAAAGACACACGCCCATAGGAATCGACCCACCCCTGCTCCACCAAAACCCCCCGTCCCGCCTGCTGCCGGCAGAGAACTGCGCGGGAGTCTCCCAGGTTGGCCACCAGCAGCCTCGGGCTCAAGCAACCGGAGGCCCTTTCGGCGGCTCCGCTGAAAGGGCCCTCGGATTCAAAAATTCGATTGGACAGCTCTACGCAAAGCAGAAAGAAGCTGTTCCGATCATGTGTTTGTTGAAAGTCACCCAGGACTGCAAGTCGTCCAAATAATTGGACACGGTTGCTCCACTGAGGGAAGAGGCACAAGTGAAGGTAGGGAATCTTCTTGTGAGCTCTGCTTGCTCTCGATTCGCGTGTTGGAAGTGCGTTGTATTGGGCTGGTTTTCGGAGGGCCTGGGGGGGGGGGGGGACTGAACCAAGTTGTCTCATGATCAGGGAGAACAACAATTGTCGCTTTAGCCCCAAGTCATACATGAAAATTAATGCGTTTCACCCAAAGAAGAGGAGATTCGACTCCCGAAAGACGGCGTCGTTTGTTGGGGCTCTTTTTTAATCTGCAAAGTAACAAAAGGATCAAACAAAGGGCAGCTTCCTCTGACATGTTGGGCAATTGTCCAGAGCAAACATCTAGGGAATTGGAAAACCCCGAAGGGACCTTCGTGGGATCAAATTCGTGACAAGGAATGACATCTGGGGAAGCAGCTAAGGGATGTCATCCCAGGCTCAAATGAAAGCAAGTGAGAGCCATGAAGCCACGATGTATCATACAGGTTCAGTCGGATTTGCTTTGAAACACGATTTTGCAAGAACCCAACCACCCATGAGCCAGAGTCCAAAAATGCAGTAAAAGAACATGCGGAAATGAGTTCCTGGCCGTCTCGCCCAACTAAACCATCTGATATGGTCATCGGGGTCAAAACTCCTCATCCATTATTGGAACCTGTGCAATGGTTGTCTCAATCTTTTGGAAAGGGTGCTATTAACCGGGAAGGTGCTCCCTTCAAAAGAGATGGACCCCCGCTACAAGGGGACGCCCCACTAGTCATCAACCAGGGGTTTATTCATCTGGGGTCAACTTTCGCCACATTTGACCATCAGCCCACAGCTCACGGCGCTTGCCGCCGGCCTGCTCCTGGTCTTCTGCCGGCCTCGTCCAAAAAAAACGAAGCTGGGAACTGCCGCGCGACCAAACCCAGGCCGTTTCGCTTAGGGTTCCTGAATGTATCCTTCATGTCTAATGGTTTCACGGGTGGTGAAGGATACAGGGCAAAACCGCAACTTTACGAGGATTTGGATGCTCAGCTGGCATTTGTCCAAGCCCAAATTGATCCTATAATGGGACGCTTGAGAAATTGAGGGAATGAAGCAAAACCAACCTGACGTCCAACCTCATTACAAACCCCGCGAACCAAACCAAACTGGGCCTCTACTTCTTGTAAACCTATCAGCCTACATACACCACATGTACGAATGCTATATGACTAAACATTGCAAGCAATATGCATCTTGGTAGTTGAAATCTCTTTGGGCAAATTCCAGTCCGGGTCTATATGTCTGCCCAGGTATCAAAAAGCGCTTTCAAAAACACAGGCCCCACGGTGGGCCGCTCTCAATATACAACCCTGACCTAAACTGCTGAGACCTATAAAATGATGAAACCCTCCTTTTTTGCCTTGGGCCAATCAGAAACCCCTGAACAAGTTGTGGCAACCGCCGCACGCGGCAAACAAGCCGCAGTGGCCTTCATCTGGCCAAATCAGGCACAGCACCATGGTGGTGCCGTCCAGGGCCTCCCTCTCACGAGCCTGGGCAAAGGAAATCTAAGGCGTCGGAAATTCCCGGGTCCGTGACCATCCGTACTCACCCCGGGTCATTTGACCATGGCACACATGGATTCATAGTTCAAACACCGAAAATGCCACCATGTATGCGTGCCATGTTCTTGGAAGGTGCTGCAAGGGGGTGGGGGGGGAGGGTGGCTTGGCCCCAAGGCTTGGCCCCAAGAACCGAAGGAAGACGATCGGCTCAGGGCAAATTCCAAATTTGGAGCCGGGCACATCTTCTGGGAGTTGGTTCTTTTCAATTGGCAATCACACCCAACAAAAGAACCGTTCGGATGCAGGTACCGACGCTGCCTTTTTTTGCAACCGTCGCTCCTTTCACTCTGGGATTCGGGTAGTTTTCTAGAAGACCCTTCACAAAGAATGATCAAAATACCCCTGAAACATTCAGAGCTCATTCTGGGTGCCCACAGAATGAAGAAGGAGGAGAAGGAGGAGGAGGGGAGGAAGAGAAAGAGGAAGAGCCAATCAAGAGGAAGAGGATTATGATGATGAGGATGAGGAGGATAAGGAGAATGAGAATGGGGATAAGGATAAGGATGATGACGACGATGATGATGATGATGATGATGATGATGAAAAGAATCCATGACAATGTTGATGACTTCGATGATGATGAAGATGACGATGACGAGGAGGACGACGACGATGATTATGATGACGACGACAATGATGATGATGACGATGACAATGATGATGATGACGATGAGGATGAGGATGAGGATGAGGATGAGGATGAGGATGAGGATGAGGATGATGATGATGATGATGATGATGATGATGATGATGATGATGATGATGATGATGCTGATGATGATGATGACTATTCGATACTTCCTGTTTCCCTTATGGACAGCATACAAAATGGCACCAATTCGTTATGTTTGCTTCCTGCAGGCACCCTTTTGCTTAGCTGTTTTCACCGAAACCAAAGGGAAAACCACAATATTCAGAGCTCGCAGTCGAAAGACATACCCATTCGATGGCTCTTTCCATGTAGAAGAATCACCATGCAGTCGCAACCGATCGCCT